GAATTGAGGCCAAGGCTGAACCGTGAGCCAATGAGCGATGCTACATGCAGGCTGAAGATGGGTGATGTGGTGGAACTAACACCATCAATACCCGACAAGTCATTGACAGAGTACAGGGAAGAGATACAGCGCATGTATAACCGAGGTCTCGCTGTTTCTAGTACCAGGCCTTCCACTAGTACTATGGTTGCTTCAAGAAGTTGACCCCCTTCAATTCTTTCTAGTACCAGGCCTTCCTATGAAATTAACTGGATTCAACAATGAATTAAGCGATTGATATCTTGGTCGTTTCCTCCATTAATTTTGTGCATCGTGTTTCTTGACAGTTCAATCGCACATAGTTCACAAGCATACAGGAAAATATTGCACAAATTGCAACACTAACACTAACATTGAAAGCAGAAACTTGACCAGATTACAAACGATCCATTCCATTACATCATGATATCGGATTAAACATCAAGCTTCTCTTTGATGAACATATGATGAAGCTTAAAACATATATTATCCTACATAGATGTTGAAACATCGTACAAAAACGTATCCTCACTTGGAGCGCTTAGTGAGAGGAAACGATACTCTTTGAGATGTTGGGTGTGGCACATCGGTCTTCTGCTTTTGCGACGAATTCATCTCCAGTCTCTTCCATTGCTTGAGCCGGTTGCTTTTTAGGGATAGCAAATTGGTAGTTTGTGCTTATCAATGTATCCTGCTTAGGTGGTAGGGGAATTCCAGGTTCCGGTATTGCCTTTGGCAATGGAACTTCGTTCCTATTTCTAGCTAACTCCAAATGCACCTAACAACATAAAAACCACTTTCACGATCTTTATTCAATATAGCTTCATTCAAGAACATGATATCAACTGCTACTGAAACAAGAACGAACATGAAATGATTGGTTTTTAAGAAAACGGGGAAAGGAACAGAAACGCAAGATTTATGTTACTTTTGCAGGTGCAGAAAAGAAAATCCCCAGGTTGCATAGCTACATCATGAGCACAGGTTGATAAAGTCCTTTTTTTTTTTTGAGACGCCACAGATTGATTTATCAGCTGAAGGTATGTCTCTCCAAATTCAAATTCAGGATATCCCAAACTCTCAATTTGAACATAAGGAGATACACCTCTGGCCGACAAATCCTTGAAGTGTGAATGCCCCAAGAGAACAATAATGTTTTGTGTTCATGATGCTTGGCACGATGCAACTTCAGGCTGCGCAAAACCTTGAGGACTTGCATATACTCAAAGAAGACATTCCGGATTATGCACTCATGACAAGACTCCACAAGCTAACTCAAGTTGTGACACAAAGAAACATATTTCTTGTCAAAACTTGGCCCATAGATTAAAACCATACAAAGCTAAAATCTGAATTGTCCTCTCAGGTGCTCTCTCAAGGTTTTACCACCATGAAGGTGTGCCTCCACATGTTTGAATCTTGGGGTAGCAAAACCTCGAGAGAGCTGTGAATCCCACAGAAGACAACTCGCTCTCACATCCGCCATCCAGCAAGCGATAACAAGATATACAATAACAACAATTTAGTTAAATGTAAAGTAGGGAACAACATTTTCAAGCAAAACAACCTCTCTGACTCTGGGTGGGGGCTGTGAGAAGCTGAAATTGACTTTAGATTGAACAGCAAGCTTGACATCATCGTAACCAACGGTTTGCTTCCCAGCATGCTAGGAGTAAACCTGCGCATCCGTCAATACATCCACGGCATAGCGATACCATAGCTCGAGAAACTGATGGATAACGCGAGGTTCATATTCCTCAACGCCCATTGATTCAACAGCGACTTGACAATCTTAGCATCCCTAGGAAAATACTCTTCGCCTTCTGCCATTGCCTTTGGGTTTACCCAGACGTGTTTATGAAATTTTAGTCATTAGACCCATAATAATAAGTATAAAAAGTTGAATTGCAAGAACAAACAAAACTAAATAAATTAACTTGTAAATTATTTTTATATTACATTTAATAAACTATTTAATAAATACATTAAATTTAAAATAGAAAACATCAAAAAATTTATTAAACACCCAACTACTTACACAAAACAAATATGATCATATTTTAAAAAAAATACATGTTAGATTGTAATCTTTCTCATCTGGTCAAAAAATAACAAAAGAATAATTAAGTGGAAAGTAAAAAAAAAATTACACAAATGTTGTCTATTATTAGAAGATCATTTTATAACTTTTTGATAGTTAAAGGACTCAATAAAACATTATCCTATAATCAGGGGACTATTTATATATTTTATCCCTTTTTTGATAATATTAATAATAATTGTAATATCTCACATTTTCGAAAATAAAAAAATTGTATATCGAGTCACTCATAAAAAAAATAATAAGAGAAATATTATTTTGAGTTTGAATATCATATTAAAGTATGTTGTATAACTTTAATATCATATTAGAGTAAAGTATGTTCTATAATTGAATTTAATGTATTTAATTAAAGTATCAATAATTCAGATAAGATGTCAATATGTCACATATGAATATAGGATAGTGATACATTGGATGGTTGGTTTGGCATTGGATGGTGTTTGGAATGCTTGGTTGGCTCAAGTAGGGAATTTGTATAAATATTTACGCTCGGTGGATTCTTCTATTTATTTATTTATTTATACATTCAGACACACACACAGCACACGCACGTGCGCGCGACACACACGCACACACACAGCGCACGCACGCACGGTGGGAGTGTTATCAGGTGGGTTATGGCAGAAAACCAGAGCCAGAGCCAGGGAGGTGCAGGAGAATAGATGGGAAGAAATGGAGGTGCTCGAAAGAAGCTTACCCAGATTCCAAGTACTGTAAGAGGCACATGCATAGAGGCAGGAACCGTTCAAGAAAGTCCGTGGAAGGTAATGCCTCATCGTCAACATCAACAACAGGCTCAACCCTTTCAAAATCTGTCCCATCAATCAGTAGTAACATTTCCATTTCCAGCTCTACTTCTTCATTCTCTTTTTCTCCCATGGCATCGGAAACCTACACCCATTTCGACCCTTTTCTTTATTCATATTCTTCCACTTCCACAAGACTTCCTGATTCATGCATACCAGTTCCATCTCTCCATTTCCTGGATTCTGCAACCGGAACTGATTACAGGTTCTTTTTTTAATAGCTTGGATAAACCCTTCTACATTCTCGTCTTTGTATAATATCTGTAAAAGTTGCTTGTTCTTTATTTAATAGGTATCTTCATGGAACAAGGGAAGGAATTGATGAAAGATCTCTCTTCCCTGAAGCTTCAAGGAGTGTAAGAGTTATACCTGATTCCTATCCGCCATTGAGAATGATTCAAAGCATTGGGTAACACGAAGAGCAGTATCACCAGAAATGCTTTGTTTTGCGCACTGATATCAAGTCAGCTAAGCCAATCAAGTTAGAGAAAGATGAAGAAACTGAAAAACCAGTGCACCAATTCTGAGGGGATTCGACACCAAGGAACAACAACGACGACAACAACAATGGGTCTTTGTTAGATCTTACATCCAATTCCAGGGTTCATTAAGTGCAAAAATAAAAAATCAATTCCTACCCATAATTTTTGTTTTTTTCACATTTATTTGTCCATTTCCTAACACTAGATTTTTTTGCACCTGCAGGTAGTTGAGGTCTCAATAATGGAATCAGTAAAAATAAGCACTTGGATGATGGGTCAGTTTCAATTAGGGATGGCAAACGGGCGGGTCGAGTGTAGATACCCCTTCCCATACCCATACCCACCTAATATTTTTCAACCCACCACCCGCCCACCACCCATAATGGGTAAAAATTTTTAAATCCACACCCGTCCACGCGGGTACATTCTCAAATCCATCCCCACAACCACTACCTAACTAGAGATGTACCCTGCTAGACCCGCTTGACAACAAACTTAAGTTATACATAAGCAACAAACACATAAATAAAACTAGTACTTACTCATTTTGCCCGAAACTGATATCAAGTAGTCTAATCTCCATTCCAATCCGAATTTCAGTACGTTTCTACAGTTTCGATAAGTTTTGATAAGTTCCAACCAGTATCAATGCATGCAGATTGATATGAGATTTCAATATTTTAACTAAAAAAACGAGTATTTTATTATGCAATCCCTTCCAATATCCTAAGACAGTGAATCATTTATACCAAAAACACCACAAAATCCAACATCATTTGAAGATCGACAAAAACTTAATAGTAACAGATGAAATTGAGAAATACGTAAAACCCAGACTGCCTTTGAAGATCAGCATAGTAATGACTAATGAGAGGTTTGAAAGGAAAAAAATATTCATAAACTTAACTTATCCCTAATATTTGGTTAAATAACACGTTATATCTTATACAATATTAGAATTTATAAATTAGTCTCTAAAATTACACCTAAATTCATAATGGTCCAAAATGTAATGGATATTTTGCTGGGCAGGCGGATGCAGGGCGGGTAAGGTGTCAAACTCATTACCCGCCCACTACCCGCGACGGATACCACTTTCTAAATCCACACCCGCCCACTACCCACTAAAATTATGCCTATTCCCGACCCAATTAGAGCGGATACGATACGAAAATCCATAAAATTGTACCCATTTGACATTCAAGTTTCAATACCTTGGCTCTTGAAATTTGTGGCTAGGATTGCTTTGTGATTATAAAGTTGTGAACCAAACAGTGCAGGGCCAGCGGAAGATTATCTATTTGTTGCTGTCACCCACTCTGATAACCTACCTTTTATCTTCTTCCCTGGAGGAAACATGCTTCGAATTTGTAAGACTTCTTTGACTATGGTATAGCCCTTAAAAAGTAAAGATATTTCCCTTTAGGCTTCTGCCTTGTATTATAAAAAAAAAAGATCCATCATTCCCATCATTGTATGCTATGGACAATATATCGGTCCTCGCATACCTCAAGCACTGAAATTTATATTCGACACGAAACCATTATTGCTAAAATAAAATTTGAATCTTAACGTTCACAACCTGAAACCTTTTTTCAAACTCAAACTATGATTTCTTTTGCATTAAGAAAAACACAAACAAAAGGGTGTGATTATCATTAGCCCATTGGCTTGAATTACAAATCAATGGTAACGAATTGAACAATTATCACAAGTTGATACTGAATACCGCCCACGATATTACCTTGCTTGTGTCGAAGTAAGAAGCTAGTACCTGCTAGGGAAGAATCCTTGTTTCATGTATAAAGATGTAAAAAAAGGCAATATTAAAGAGAATGGTTCTAAAAAGGACTATTCATGATGGAGAATTTCAAGGAAACAAATAAAGTGTGTAGATTTTACATAGTTGACAGTTTTATCTCAGACTCTCAGTAGATCCATTATCTTAGGACTTAGCCCCATGCCATAGAACAGGCATAATTGACCACCAGTTTACCATCAAAACCGAAATTCTGAAAATGCAAAGGCAGGCTGGGTTAGATTAACAGATAAACATCGACAAGGCTGACTAAGTAATTAAAATTTCTATGTTACAATATGTTTGAAAATTAGTAGGAGACACAAGCAAGTAAAGGAGTAGCATCCTCTTAAGAGAGAATTTACTCCATTTTTCAGAGATCATGCAGTCAAGTGAAGAAATTTTTTTCTTTTCATATTGAAGTCATCATCTTCAAGGTGTTTTTATGAAAACTATGTCTAATGGTGGATACAAAAGATGTGTAAGAGAATCTATTTTCAGCGCAATGAACATTTTTTGTCAGATACTCAGACCAATCTACTGAAGTCTCTGAAGTAATGGACCATTTCATGTGAAAACTCATTTGATTCTGCCATTATGGTCCCCATTGTCAATGTAAGATAAAAGGAAACAGTTGCAGGGTTTAGCTAAATAGTTATCTCTGTACATTAAGGCACAGAAAATTCAGGGAAAAGCATATGCTATATGCCCAACTTAATGCCATAAAGTAAGGGCCGTAGATTGGTTTTTGTCATTGTCATCGTGCAAATGAAAAACATGTTGTCTCTGATGATGAGCATTTTCATAAAAGAATAAGTTCTGAGCTAAATATCTTTGTTCTTTCCTATTTCAGTTTGTGTTTCTGAGAAAAAAATCTAGAAATTAATGGAGATATGCAATGCAAGTCAGTTCCCCGTTTAAAGAATCTATTAATACTCCAACAGAGTTGACTCACATAACTAAAATTAGCAAGAGAAAGGAACCAAGTATCATGACTTACATTATATAGGTCGATCACCAGTTCATCTGGGTTCGGTGAGAAGGCACTATTGACATACACAAACTGCAACAAGGGCTAAGAAATTAGTACTAATGAAAACAAGAGAATTAAAATTATCTGACAAAACTAAAAATGTAACAGACACAAATCAATTACCAAGTATCACGGTGCAGTTGCCGGCGTAGAAAATCAATTACTTTAGCAAATTTGTCAGTTCCAGGTATCTGCAACAATACATTTCATTCAATGACAACCATTACATGCTAGAGGATATTGAATGAATATATACACACACAAAACAAATGCATACTCAGGAACACGATTTAAGCAATTGTTTCAAGTGAATCACAAAAATCGAATTGCAATATCAACTAAAATTGTACAAATTATTTATGTGCAAGCTAAACTAAGCTTCTAACCTATGTTGCTCGGACTCCTCATTTTTCATGAAGTACTTGTGCCCGACACTTAGATATGGAGATATAACCTCCAAAGATCTTAGAAAATTCTAGCCATACCCGTGTTGGATACATATCTGTGTTTGACACTTATGACAGTCCGAATAAAATAGCTCTAATTACAAGGATATACACAGTTCACCATCAAAACATGCCCCATCAGTTTGCACTTGCTTTACATTATCTTCAAGCCAAGCCTTGGATAAAAGCTCCGAAATATATATAATTTAATCAAAAAATCTGACGGGAAATATAGAATTATTCTATCATGTGATCGAGGCCTCGTTTATTTTTCCTCATAAAAGAATAAGTCCAGAATGTTGATTGAAGAATTCTAGACCCTCTCGAGGTTATAAATTGATGCAAAAGGGGGGCAAAATCAAATAAATACCTTGAATTTGGCTTGCTTTAGTATCGGAGCGTCCCCAGTTGCTCTGAGATGAATAACAACTGCATTTAAATTGCAAAAATAAATAAATAAACAAATTGGGGATATGAAAACAATTAATAGAAAACCTAAAAAAAAATCCAAGCTTAATAAAGAGTTTTCACATTCGAGTAGCAAATCAGAAAACTAGTTCATAAGCTTTCTAAAGGGTGGATGCGATGATTGACCTTTTCGAACAGAACTGGATGACTCAGTTGCTGCCATGATTAGACACAAGTTGGGATGCGAGTTTTAGAGCAAGCTTGAAGAAGTTGAAGAAGTTGCTAGTTCCAAGGAAGAATTTTAAGTTGATCAAACTCTGTTATTAGTCCCTATACTATAAATAAAATTTATATTTAATCTTTATATCCTACTTTGATCAATTTTAATCCCTATTCTTTTTTAATTTTAAAATTTTAGTCTTAGTACAATAATACAAAGATAATATGACTAAATCAAAAGAATCTATAATAATCAAATTAAAAAATATATAAATCTATTCTACAACTAATACATAATGTACGGATTAATAACAAAGGACTAAATTACAACTTAATACATAAATTTTAGTCTTGACGAAGTGACATATTTCTATGATTTAAAAGTTAAAAATAATTAATTTTTTATTTTCATTAAATTTAGTCAATTTATAATAAATGCTCGCATTAACTTTGTGAGTGAAAAAAGATTTTTCAAGTACAAGTTAGGTAAAATGAATAAACTTTGTAATAAAAGAGTTGTAAACAAATTCAATTGATATTGAGTTCAACTCTCAGGATATGGTTTTTAATTGATATTTCAATATTTTTCAAGTGAGTTAATATCTAACCAATCCAATTCAATTAGTTTCTATAATGTAGGACTATAGATTTAAAACTCCCAACTTATTAACGATGTAGGGGGAAAATTAGATACCCAAGTGAGGAAACGAAATAGTTCAAGGACTGATTCGAAAATAGAGTATGGGATGGTAACCAGCACTGTAATATCAAGCAATGAATGTTTCATTTCTTCTTTTCAATCAACAATAATCACCGAATCAATGTGCTTTTGACAACCTAGTATGTATATTTATGTCTAGAAACCCAAATGAGGATCGACCAAAATCATGAAATCTAACCCTTTTTCCCTAATAAAGGAAGAATAGTGCAGTAGCAAATCTAGTTAACAACATAAATCATGAAAAGGTAAGGGTAAGTTAGATGATCAAATGGTGTAAAAATCATTTCCAGCAGTAGTATCACTTCCATCATGTCTCTGATCACTTTACCATGTAATTTACAGCTTTTAGTCCTTTTTGTCATCCCACTACATCGTAGAATCTTCAGTTAACTATATATTATGACCAGAAAAGAAGGCAGTTTATAAGGCCAGTTTTGAAATGAATGATTATATATATATATATATATATGAGACGGGATGCATCTTTTTAGGATCGTTGGATGAGTGTAAATACACGACTAAGATTAACAGTAAGAAATGAGAAGATATTTACAGAGAAAAAATGAGATAATCTCAACTTTCTATTTCTACTCATCAAACGATCTTTAAGAGTAAACTTTTAGTCTTATAATAGGTGTAAGTGGATTCTGTTGCGGAAGACGGCTATTGAATAGAGCAAAATCACAACTGATAATTTGAGAAAAATAAAAATTAAGATAAAAGAGATACAAAATTTACGTGGAAAACCTCGAAATAATATAGGGTAAAACCCACGGGCAACGGTAGAAGAATTTCACTATGAGAAAATAGGAATTACAACTTCTCTTGATCTACCAAGGAGAAAACAATGATAATTCTCTCTTGATAAAAAGGAGAAAACAACTCTCAAGAAACTCTCTAAATTCTCTAGTATTGGAAGAAAACTGGAATGCTTTGGGATGGTTTTGAAGCTAAATGAGCTAGAGTATTTATAGTTGAAGCTTAAGGATTAATTTGTAAATATCCTAAAGTTTAGTGACTAAAGTGTATAAATATACCATCCATTTTTCAACAAAAAAAACAAATCACCTTTCGGTGCATTAATTGTATGCACCTTTCGGTGCTTTAGTCAACAATCTCCCACTTGAAGATTTAATTGGAATAATCATATCTTCACACCATTCTTTCTACCTTGTACCTTCATGTTTAAGTCTCTGACAGGCCACAGGAGGATCGTCACCGAGTAAATTTATCGGTATTGATCGCATTCGTCATGAAATCTGCTATGTTGTTTTTTGTATGGATCTTCTACATATCTATCGTCCATTCTTCCACCTTTTCACTAATGAAATTGTACTGAACTCGTATGTGTTTTGTCCTTGAATGAAATGCTGGATTCCTTGCTAGATGCAAGGCGCTTTGACTGTCACAAAATAGAGAGACATACTATTGATTGTGCCCAAGCTCATCCAATAGCATCTTCAACCAAATTGCTTCTTTACTGGCTTGTGTAGCTGCTATATATTCTGCTTCTGTTGTTGATGTAGCCACAACTGACTGTAATTTTGAAACCCAGCTTACAGCTCCACCAGCAATTTTGAACACATATCCTGTAGTATATTTGCTTTTATCCAAATCCACTACATAGTCAGAATCTACGTACCCATTGATTAGTAAGTTTGATCCTCCGTAACATAATGCAACATTTGAGGCCCCTTTGATATTGTTGAGTTAATCGATCGACGGAATCGACCAAGAGGGGGGTGAATTGGCAATTAAAAATTTCGTGGAAGCTTTTGCAGAAAAATTGAAAGTAATTGTACAGCGATTTACAGTGGTTCGACTTTCTCAAACAAAGTCTACGTCCACTACCTTAGCTATCCACACTAAGGATTTTCCAACAAATTCACTAATTTGTTCTTTCTTTTGAGGCCAAAGAGATAACCTTACAAAATCCCTCAAGAGTATACCCAAACTCTTGAGAACACTCTTTTTCCCAAAGAGAAGATTACAAATTTGCAAACTTACAAGAAAACCTCACAAGGTAAGATGTTTGCACAATTCTAGAACAAGAAAAGAACACTCAAAGATAATTACAAATGAGCACAAATGGTGTTCTTGAAAGCAAAATGAATATTGAAAGGAAAATTGGCTTGATTTGCACAAACTTGGTGTTTGATGCTTTCTCTCTTGTTTCTCTATGATTTCTTGTTGATCAAGGGCTTCAGAACTTGTTTAAATACACCTTGAATCTCTTCTGAACGTTGGGGATGATTAGTGAAGATCATATAGCCGTTTTAGTGTGAAAACAATTAATAAAACAGTTTGGAGCGTGGGGGGAATCGGTACCCCCTATGGGGGAATCGGTTCCCTAAGTGTAAAATTCAAATATTTCGACCATTGAACAGGGGGGAATCGGTACCCCCTATGGGGGAATCGGTTCCCTCCGAGCATTCTGGAAATCTCGGAGCCAAACCATTCAAGGGGAATCGGTACCCCCTTGGGGGGGAATCGGTTCCCTCTGAGCAATCTGGAATTTTTGGCTTTGAAATGGTTCGAAATACTTTGAAAGATTATTTTGAAATTGTTTTAAGATTAAAACTTAATTTTACACTTAAGTAAGGATTAAAAATGATTTTTGAAATATTTTGAGTAATGTTTTGATATTCGAATAATTATATCGAATATACTTAGAAAATCATTTTGGAAAATCTTAAAATTCATTTAACTTAATTTGTTATATCGAAATATCAAAATGTTTTCAACAGATATATCTCATGATCCTCTTTACTGTATTCCAATGCTCTTTGCCTGGATTCGCCATATATCGACTAACCACTCCCACTGCTTGTTCAATGTCTGGTCTTGTGCATATTATAGCGAATATTAAACTTCCCACTACTGATGCATACGACACTCGAGACATCTCCATCCTCTCATCTTCACTGCTAGGACTCATACTGGAGGATAATTTGAAGTTAATAGGAAGATGGGTAGAAATTGGCTTACAATCTTGCATGATGAATCGTGTCAAGATCTTCTTCAAGTAATTCTTTTTGTGAAAGCCAAATCTTACTATTACTTCTGTCTCGGCGTATTTGCATCCCTAGAATCTTGTTTGCTGATCCCAAGTCCTTTATTTCAAATTCCCTAGTCAGTTGTGCCTTCAATTCTTCAATATGATCTTTGTTGGGTCCTGCAACCAACATGGCATCTACATACAACAACAATATAACAAAATCGTTATCACCAGAACTCTTGAAATAAACACAAGGGTCTGCATTAAGTCTGTTATATCTAAGTCACATAATGAAGAAATCAAATCTCTTATACCAACACCTCGACGCCTGCTTTAGACCGTAAAGAGATTTATTCAACCTGCAAACCAAGTTCTTCTTTTCTTTTTCTTCAAAACCTTCAAGTTGAAGCATATAAATCTCTTCTTCAAGATTTCCATGAAGAAAAGCTATTTTAACATCTAGCTGCTCTAGATGTAAGTTCAATGTATCACACATTGCCAAAACTACTCGAACTGTTGTTAGTCGAACCACAGGAGAAAAGATTTCATTGAAATCAATACCTTTTTTTTGAGCATATCCCTTTACCACCAGTCTTACACGATACCTCTCAACTTGATCGTCACCATTTCGCTTGATTTTGAAGACCCATTTGTTACCAATTGGCTTCCTTCCTTGTGGTAGTGGCACAAGGTTCCATGTATTATTTTTATAAAGGGCTTCAATTTCCTCTTGCATCGCCATCATCCATAGTGAAGCATCTGAGATGTTTATTGCCTCCTGGTATGTTGATGACTCACCATCCTCTGTTAAAAGGCAGTATGCAATATTACCTTCTATAACATAATCTGAGTGCCAATTGGGACGTCTTATCACACGATCTGATTGACGAGTTGTTGGAGCTTCAGAATTCTCTAGTTCTTGTTCATCATGTGTTGGTTCTGCTTCAGAAGAATCTCTTTGTTCAAACTCCTTTTCCACATGTATCTGTGTAGTCTCTGACTTTTCAACGCTACCATCTTCTTCTTTTCTTTATATCTTATCTTCTACAAAGATAACATCTCCACTGATGATCACTTTGCGGGCAGTGGGATCCCACAAGCGATACCCCTTTACACCATCATCATACCCCAAGAATTTGTATTTCTTGGATTTTGGATCCAGTTTTGAAATTTCTTAGGAGTTGTACATCACATATACAATACTTCTAAATACATGGAGGTTTGAATAATCTGCTGGTTTACTAGTCCACATCTCCATTGGTGTCTTCAACTCTATTGCAGTTGATGGAGCTTGATTCACCAAATAACAGGCGGTATTGACTG